CTCTGTCCATTCTCCAGTCTACATTTCAGTCATTAGTTAGTTATTCTGTCCCTAATCCTGATTAAACATTCTCCCAGTCATTGCTATATTGGAGTGGTTATGGAAAGCCTTCCTTGGCTGGGTCAGGGAAGCTGCTGATCCTTTGCTGTTTCTCCATCCCAGCAGCTCTGCTTGTAACCAACCCATCCCATCCACAGGCTGCTTTGCCCAGTGCTGGACCAGTCTGGATGTGATTTCCAGTGGTGCAGCAGGGCCTGCTGGAAGCACCATCTTCAGTTCTTCCTCACATCACACGTAACTCCTTCCATATATGCTTGTGCAGAGATGGTCCTGGAGATGTTTCTCACTCTCTTCTCATTTCACAGAATCCCAGAATGGTTTGGCTTGGGAAGGACCTTAAACCCCATCCCATTCCACCTCCTGTCATCTGCATGGGCAGAGACACCTTCCACTAGCCCAGGTTGCTCCAAGCCCCGTCCAACCCGGCCTTGGACGATTCCAGGGATCCAGGGGCAGCCACAGCTTCTCTGGGCAACCTGTGCCAGGGCCTCACCACCCTCACAGCCAACAATTCCTTCCCAATATCCCCTCTAACCCTGCATTCTGGCAGTGGGAAGCCATTCCCCCTTGTCCTGTCACTCCATGCCCTTGCAAAAAGTCCCTCTCCAGCCTTCCTATGGGTACTGAAAATGGGGGTATTTTTCTGAAAACCTTTGCTCTGTGATGCCTCATTAAAGCTCCTAAAGCACCACCAAAGGCAGCCTAGAAATACAAGGCATCATCTGGGGAGTAAAGAGGGGGCCAAGAGGCAGGACACAGGAAAGGAATGGGCTGGTCTCTATGTTAAGATTTTCCCCAGGGAGCTTTAAAGACAGGCACAAACAGCAACTAAAAATACTCATCCCATTTCATGAGAGCAAGGTGCCCCTCGGCTGGTTATTTTAACACTCCAGGAAATAGGGTCCCTGGTGGGACCCACACCTGCTGGAAGAGCCATAATGAAGTGTTTGTAGGGAGTATGACCTTGTCAAGAGGAAAATAATTCTTTTCCAAGCTGTGAGGTTTTACATTTTGTTTGTTTAACATGAAAATAACTTATCTGACCTTACTTTTCACTGAGCTGGGAGTGCCAGGTTCTGCACAGCCAGAGGGAAACTCTGCAGACACCTCAAATTAAACAAACCTGTCACAGAGCAGGTCATTTATCCCTGTTTCCAGTGGTGGATTTGGATAAAACCAGGCTGCTGGCACCTCTGGCTGCCCTTCTTGCAGGTGCAAGAGCAGGTGGGTGAGAGCAGGGAAGCTGCCTTTGTTATCCTTTCCTGCAAAGCCAGTCAGTCATACCTGATTTATCCATGTCTGTACAGGGAAATGGGGGGTTTCCCCAGGTCAGGGTCAGGTTAGGGATGCTCTTCCTAATGCAAAGTGTGTGGGAGCTTCATCCCCCTTCCTCACAAGCATGTCCGTCTCCTCCATCCCCCAGGAGGGTGGAAGTGATGGTGATAGAAAATCACAGGATGGTTTGGGTTGAAGGGACCTTAAACCTCATCCATTCCAGCCCCCTGCCATGGGCAGGGACACCTTCCACTAGCCCAGGTTGCTCCAAGCCCCATCCAGCCTGGCTGTGGACACTTCCAAGGATGAGGCAACCACAGCTTCTCTGGGCAAAATCTTTCAGACAGTTAAAAATCCCATTGCAAAAACATCAGGTGCACCAGGAAACGGAGTCCTTTAAGGAATCATCCAGAAAAATCCAAGTGTGGGGGCATTTTGCAAAGCTCAGTTTGTTTTTCCTTGGCATGATGTACAGCATCCTTGCAGGGCTCGAGCACCCCTGATGGTACAGCCAGCATCATTCCAGCATCATCCACAGCAAGCAGGCAGGATTGCTGCTGTCCTTCATCCCACAGGAAGGCATTTCCTGATCTTTTCAGACGGCAAAAAAATATAGCAGGGGCCAAGCCAGTGTGGGAAGAGGAGTATTCCTCCTCCAGGAGGGCTTTGCTCCATGTGCAGGGAGCAGCTGCTCCTGGGGTGGGTGCTGAGCCAGCACAGAAATCCCATTTGCAAGGGTCACACTCACACAGAGACATCCCAGACTGGAGAATTTGGGGGAATTTGGTTTGTTTTCTGGATGTACAGGCTGTTGACTCCCTGAAGTATAATCAGGTGGAAGCTGAGAAAGCCACAGTCAGTAACAGCTTGAATATATTTTTGGAAAACACTGCAGCTTCAGAGCAGAGAGAAGAGACCTTGTAACTAATTGAAAAGTGAACAGGAGAGCTGGATTTTATCTGTGCATTTGAAAAATGTATTAAACCCTGAGCTCCAGCATTAAAAAAAAAAACAGGAAAGGGGTTTCATCACTTTTGCCTTCAAAAAGGGAACGTGGCACTTGCAGCACAGGCACTTTGCCCTCTCTGGTGTTTAATAACCAGGCTGGGTTTCAGGGCAAAGGAGATCATTTTAGCCCAAGAGCTGCCTATTTCTTTCTGTCCATTAAGAACGTTAATTGCTGTTGAATGAACTCATTTGTCCAGCTCAGATCTGTGCTGGGAGCTGCAGCAGAACTGCTGCTGAGCCAGTGGGGGATGTCAGAACCGAGGCTGTTGGCTCTGTCTGGAAATACTCTGTGGTTTTCCATGAAAACCACACTCTTGCTTGAACCCCTTCTGCTGTTACTCATGCACAGTAGCACATCTAAACTAATTAATGCCCTCTGGTCCAGTGATTCCCCTAAAAGCCTGCAGAGTAGGCTGCAGCCTGCAGAAGTTCATCCAAGAAATCCTCCACTCCCTTGGCTTCCGCTGGCTGATGGGGGAAGGATGCCATGGGATGTTGGACACTTGCCTCTGGTGGCTGTCATCTAGCGAGGCTACAAAGGACCTTGGGTGCTCCAAGCACTCCATAGGTGGTGAGGCCCTGGCACAGGTTGCCCAGAGAAGCTGTGGCTGCCCCATCCCTGGAAGTGTCCAAGGTGTCCAGGTTGGATGGGGCTTAGAGCAACCTTCCAAAGCTGGTGGAAGGTGTCCCTGCCCATGGCAGGGGGTGGAACTGAGTGATCTTCCATGATCCTGGGATAGTGGCAACATGATTCAGTGTGGCTAAAAGAAATTAAAAGAACTAAAGGAGGAGGAGTTGCTTGAATCCAGCAGAAGTTTTCAGGAGCAGAAGAAGAATTAAAAGGGGCTGGGAGAGGTCAGGGGTCAGTGGCTGCTCCCTGTTTCTGCCAGTACATCCCTGCTCCAGGTGGCTCTGGGACACAGAACTATACAATCACAGAACTGTTTAGGTTGGAAAAGCACTCAGAGACCACCCAGTCCAACCATTCCCCCAGCACAGACAAAGCCACCACTGACCCGTGTCCCCAAGTGTCACGTTCACAAGGCTGTTAAATCCCCCTGGGGATGGGGCCTCCCCCACTGCCCTGGGCAGCCTCTGGGAGGTGAAGAACATTTTGCCTCCATCCCAGACCTCCTTCTTGCCTGGATTTGTTCCCCCTTACAATTGCTGCCTCTCTCCTTGCTGTAAGAGGGCACTTGCACACCCGGTTGTTGCACCCAGAGGCACAGGGGACCTGCTCATCCTCCACCCAAAACCAGTGTCCAGACTGGCTGGAGGCTGGGTGGAGATCCAGGTGTGTCACCCTTTGGGTTCTTATGGCTGTTCCCTCCCCACACTCAGAGGTAATAAAGAACCTCTGGGGAGGAAACCCATCTCCCTAAGGGTATCCATCTTTCCCACTGCAAAGGTTTACACCTCCTGGATTTCCATATTCTTGGGAGCTGAGCACACAGCATGCTGTACCTGGGTAATGCCACAGCTTGGCATTGATGAAGTGTGATCCATTCCTGTTGGGAAAGGTGGGGAAGCTCCGTGCTCCTGTAACGTGGATATATGGATGCTTTCAGCCCCACTGGAATCCTGACAGTGTGGACATGGGCAGTGATGGCCAAGCCCAGGAACGTTGCAAACTCCATCGGCAAGAAGCACGATCTGGTGTCTGCAGGGATTTGGGAGAGGAGGAGTGAGTTCGGGGGAAAGTCTGGCATGATCTGTGCAGTGACAGCCTGTCCTCTGCCCCCAGGTGGTGAGTGGGAAGGAGAGTGACAGCAAGAAGAAGGAGGACATGCTCAGCCAGCTCAGGGCGAGGCCTGAACACACACAGAACCTCTCTCTGGGCGAGTTCATCAAACGTAAGTGTGAGAATTCCCCCCTCCCACACGGACAGGGCTCCTGTGCCGGCACAGAGGATGAGCAGTGGGATGTGCTGTGGGCTGCAATGCTGGTAGGAAAGAGGGATATTCCTCCCTGTGCTCAGCCCACCTCCTTGAGAACCCCTCGAGATGCAACTTAGGCACACTGTTGGGTTCCCTGGAAGTGTCCAACGCCAGGTTGGACGGGGCTTGGAGCAATCTGGGATAGTGGAGGGTGTCCCTGCCCATGGCAGAGGGGCTGGAACAAAATTACCTTTAAGATCCCTTCCAGCTCAAACCCTTCTGTGAGTCTATGTTTTATGGCTCAGGTGGGCAGGAAACAGAGGCCAAAATCTCATCAGAGCCCAGATCCAGGCAGGAAAGAGGGGTGCAACCTGTGAGCCTGGAGCAGAACCATGGGAAGAGAAGGACCCCCTTCAGCTGGAGGGGTTTTGCAGCTTGAGTGCATCCAGCTGCTCTTGCTCAGTTCTCAGAGCACAGCAGGAATCACGCCCACAGCAGCACTGGCAACTTTTCATCCTCAAAAAACCTCTCCAGACCCCCTCCTAAAGGCTGGTGACAGTATTCAAGCCAGGCTGACCTCCTGTCCCACCGAGGGTGGCTGGCACTCCCTGGAGACAGGGTCTGAGCAGCTAAAAGCAGAAGGGTGGTCAGAATCCAGTAATCCACTGCAATTAACTTGTTTAGGAATGAGCGAGCTCTTTGTGCTGAAGACTTTCAGCTGGGCTTTAGTCTGGGGAGGCAACTGCTAAAGGTTGAGTTGGGTGTTTTTTGAAGGAAATACTCTGCACTTTGGTAATTACTTATAAGAAGTGGCCTTCTGAAGTCAGTCTGTGTCAGCTTCCTCCATATTTTCTGAATATTGTCCCTTTAATTTGTTGGAAATTGTCTGTGTTCTGAAGGTCAGTGCAGGGCAGACACAGCCAGATGAGCGTGGGCAGGTTTTTATTCTGCTGCTCTCTGGCCTAATGCTCAATTAGGGGAGTCAGGCAGGGGGTTATTCCCCCCCGACCTTGGGGCACTGTCATTTAGAAAACCTGTGTTTAGGAAGCAATTGCATGGGAACAGATTTATAGTGCTCAGATGGGACTTTCACACTGACACTTTGCCTCTGAAACATGAATAAAAATGAGCTCCCTGCCACTGGGTGGAGAGAGAAGGAGATATCCCACCTCTGCTGGAGCTGCGGGTTTGGCTTGGGGCTTGTATCAGAGTTGTTGTGTCAGGGCTGTGCTCAAAACTCATTATTTCTGAGAATTTATCCCCTCAAACCCAGTTCTGAAAGAAACAAAGTGTCTATTTTCTGTCAAGAGAGCAATTTTTCTGAAATCACCAGGATCTCTGATGCAAACCCCTTTTTTAGAGCCAGAAGCTGGGTGGTGGGTAGTATGTGTGGTGCTGAGTTGGGGGCAATTCGAGTGAAGTCTAAAGATTTTTCCTTCCCATTTTGTCACTCTCCTGCTTGTTTTGTTTCTTCTCTCTATTTTTTTTTTTTTTAATTACAAACTGATTTATGAAAACAGCATTTGGAGATTTTCCATCCTGAATCACCTTGGAAGTGTCCAAGGCCAGGCAGGAGCAACCTGGGCTAATGGAAGGTGTCCCTGGCCATGGCAGGGGGGTGGAATGGGATGATCTTTAAGGTCTCTTCCAACCCAAACCATTCCATGAAAAGGAAGCATTTTGCCATGTGTCCTGTGGCACATGGAGACAAGTAGAGAGCAAAATCAGGCTTGTGGGATTTTTTGCCAAGTATGGCAAACAAACCCCCATCCCAGGAGGTTCCTCAGGGTGTCCCTTTCTCTGGGCTTTGAATCTCTCTGGAGCAAGGTATGACGAGCAGTTTGCAAAGCCCTGGAAACTCTGCCTCAAGGACAGGAAGGGTTTTTCCATCCCCAGTCAGCAATAAGAGGATGGAGCTGTGGACAGGATAAATGCTCAGGCAAAGGCATTTCCAAGCAAGGAGGTCGACTGCCCCAGAAGGGAGCAGGCTCTGCTGCCTGGAGTTCTCCAAATCTAGGAAAGCCAGAGCTCTGTGGGGAAGGATGTGACACTGGCTTGCACCCTGCTCCTCACACTCACAAGGTGCTCCTTTTGCAGGCATTGGATCTGCTCACAGTAATGAAAAAAACTAGGATTTAGCCAGCCTGGAGTAATTTCCATTGCTAATTTCCAGGCTTCTGTTGAAAACACCTGGGAGGACGTGCAGATTCTGTTGCACACACTGGGAATTAATCCATTAAAGGTGATCTTCAGAGCATTTAGAACACTGTGCTTGTGACTTGTTTGTTACTCTTATGGTCCCTACAGACAGTTTCAAAGACATTTTTTGATTATTATTGTACAGTTTCCACTTGCTTTTAATATCTGCCCAGCTTCCTCCCTGGACCTGGGAGGGAGATCCAATTAGTCATGAGGAGGTGATTGCAGAGGACAGAAATCTTCCTGTGACCTGCTCAGTGTTGTACTTTTAAGCTCTGATCTGAGGTGGCAGAGGGGGCATAGTTTGATTGACAAGACCAAAAACTCTGGGGAAAAGAGCTTTTTGGTGGAAGATTCCCACCAGCTTCCAGAAAAAGCTGGATTAGCTCGCAGGAGGTCTCAATTGAGGTTTCATATTTGCAGTATGGCTGGAATATGCTTCAAAAATCAGGATTTTAGTGATAGTTAGGAGAAAAACCACCTCCCCTCTTGGGTTCACATTGGTCTAACAGCCCATTCCCTCTCCAGCTGCCTGCTGCCCTCTCAGCTCTCCAGTGGGTCAGTATTTTAGGGTCCTTGACCACATCTTGCATGCTTGGACCCTCTCTAATGACCTGCTTTTGCTACTCCCCAACATTTTTGGCTGCTTGCCTGACCCTGAGAGCAGAGTGCTGATCCGGAGAGGCAACACTCCCCTGAACAGGAGCTTAGCCTGTGGATTTGGAGGACCCTGCTGCATCCACAGAGGGTCCTTTTGCTCTCCACATAACATTTAGGACAACTAAAATAAACACACAGCTTGGGGCACCTCCCAGAAGAGCACCAGATAGTTCTCCCAGAGCTGCTGTGCTGGAGCAGATAGAAAGATTGTCCCAGTTGTTTGGGAGCTGCTAAGAGTTAACACCATTAATTTATGGCAGGCCCTTGCATTAATCCTCCCTGTTAATTCCTTATCTCTGCTCCAGCATATTGGCTTTCCGAGCCCTCAGCTGGGAAACTCGTCATCTGTTTGTCTGGAAGTTGCCCTTTGCAAAGCCAGGCAGGGAGCACGGGGGGGAGGCAATGGCTCAGGGGGAGCAACAGCAGCAGAGAAAGTGGGTTTGGGGTGTCACAAAGGAGAAATCACTCCAGGATGGACAATTCCAGCCTCCCAGCTGGAGGATGTCAGCACTGGGCACCCTGGTTCCCCAGGGTCTTTGCTAAGCAGGCTGAAGATCCCTCTTTCTCCAGGGTTCAGCCACAGGGGAATTTGCTGGAGTGTTTCTTGCCTGTAAACAAAGAAAAATTGCATTTTTTATGATTGAAACAAAAAGGACATTGAAATTGCAACCGCAGCAAACAAATAAATTAACTTTTAATGACTTCCCATCTCCTCTTGTGTTTGTGTTAGCAGAAGCTCTGCCAGAAAGCTCCAGGGAACGAGATGAGCTTTACAGTCCCTTCCCCCCTGAGCCTTTCTATGATTCTAGGATTAATATTTTGCTGTACCCCTGCTCTGTATGCAACAGCTTTGCCCTTCTCCTTTCAGGTTTTCCTCTGGTGCTGCTGAGGAACCTGCGTCACCCCGTTTACCTGCTGGTGGTGCTGGCTCAGGTCAACATCTCTGCCATGGTTGCTGGTTTAGCAACGTTCATGGGCAAGTTCCTGGAGAGACAGTTCTCCCTCACGGCATCCTTTGCCAACATGATCATTGGTAAGTGTTGCTGAGCACTCCTTAAAAAAATGATGTGGAAATTACAAAGAATTCCTCTGGAGCTGCTGGTCTCCTTCCATGACCCACAGACAGACATGGCACAAGGTCCTTGCCCATACACTTGCTCAGCTCCTATCTGCTTGCTTTCCTTCCGTTCCACTGCAGCCTGAGCTTGCTGGGATATTTTAAGACCTGGAGAAATGTGTGTTATCTAAAGCTGTTCTCTGTAATCAAGGAGAGGAAGGGAACTCACTGCATTGAGGGAGCGGGGAAACATCAGATGTGAATTCTGCGTGTTCTGTATCAGGGATTACTTCACATCCATCGTTGGGTTAACAATCTGAGGTGTGCAACAAATAAATCAGAAGAAAGTGAGCAGAGCAGGCTGGCAAAGCCCACCACCCTGGGCTTAACACAGGCAGGAAGGTTAAATGCTGAAGCAGTTGTGTCCTGCTGAGCTGTTCCCAGCCTTGATTTACCCTCTCTGTATTTCATGGATGAACTTCCCTACCCTTTGTTCCCACCACCAAATCTTGCTTTGCTGCCTTCTGATAGATCAAAAAGCTTTCTGTAGTTGAAAATTCCTTCCTTGCAGGGTATTTATGGGCTGAAAGCAGCCTCCCCATTGGTTCTTTGCTGAATTAAAACAGTCTGCACTTCTGGAGCTGAACTTTGGGCTCCCATTGTAAAAATGGGGTTTGCAGAACACCAAGACTGTGGTGGAAACCTTCACAGTTTTACAAGGGTGACAATCCTGCACTGTGTGAAAATTAAACATTTTAGGTTTACTTGGTGTTTCCTCCTGTCTACACTGAAAAGTCACAGTTTCTGGGTGAAGCACAGCTTCCCACTGCTCCCTACATCTCCCATCCGTGGGTACATAAGGCAGCCAGTTTGCTGTGAGATCCTGCTGGGTTTGAAAAGCAGCTTTTTTGTAGCATTATTTCACCAGTCCCTGCAAAAACCTTGGTCCCTTCTGCATCACCTGTGCTGAAAAATAGAACTTCAGCAGCAAATCTTCTGGGCCTTTGCTGTGTGAAGGGACTGAGATGGCTCAGAGGATGGAAAACAACATATGATGATAGGACAAGGGGGAACGGCTTTAGATCGGATATTAGGAAGGAATTGTTGGCTGTGAGGGTGGGGAGGCCCTGGCACAGGTTGCCCAGAGAAGCTGTGGCTGCCCCATCCCTGGAAGTGTTCAAGGTGTCCAGGTTGGATGGGGCTTGGAGCAACCTTCCAAAGCTAGTGGAAGGTGTCCCTGCCCATGGCAGGGGTTTGGAACAGGGTGATCTTTCAGGTCACCCAGACTGTTCTGTGACTCTGTGATTCCTTGACCTGCCTTTCCCCAGGTGCTGTGAACATCCCAGGGGCCATGGTGGGGATCGTGGTGGGCGGTGCCATCCTGAAGCGGTTCCAGATGTCCTTGAGGCAGTGCAGTGCCATGTGTGTCCTGGGCATGCTCCTGTGCCTGCTGGTGGCCTTCCCCCTCCTCTTCCTCGGTTGCCCCACGCAGAAGGTCGCGGGTGTCACCTACAGCGACAGGTACCAGGCATGGGCATGGGCAGGTCACTCCCGGGGCTGTGGGCACACCCCAGTCCAGGTGCATTCCTCGGGGGGGAGGTGTGAGTTAAGCAGAATGCCCAGAAATAGGTTTATTCCCTCAGGAGAAATATTTAATGGTGATAAAATAAGGCTAGGAATTATTGTGGATAAACACTGAATCCGCTGCATCCTCAAGTTTAGGGCAGAAAATATATTTTTAGTTTATCCCATGCATGGGGTCATTTGAGCTTTATCTCCTTAGAATTAAAACCTTTTTAACATAAAGATATTTAGGAACAGAGTTGTAAGAGTCCAATTGGTGGGATTTCCTACTGAAGAATAAGTGTAGCGTGGAACCCGAAGTAAACACATTTTTGGCACAAACAGCACAGGATTAAAATTCCATCTTGGAAAGCAGAGCAAGTTACGCACCCGTGAATAATTTGGGCAGGGGCCAGCCCTGGGATCACACCTTGAAAGCTGTGGCTGCTTCCTTGTGCAACTACAACGTGGGCAGGAGCTTCTTGTCTTCCCTCAAGGCTTGATCCAAGTTTCTGTGAATCCACACCTTCAGTGTCTTGTGGTTTTGGTGGAACCTGGTCCTGGCCCTCAGTGGGGAGCTCAGAACGTTGCAAGTACCCCAAACCCCCACATTTGGGACCAAATATGAGGGAAGTGGGTGACTGCCTTAACCATTTGTGGTCAGGATGCTTTGCCCAGGCAGAGCAAAGCCTTGGGGGGTTACAGTGGAATTTCCCCACTCATGTATGGGGAAGGTTTGGTTGAGCAATCAAGGGGTTTTTTACTAATCTCAATGTACACGTGGCATGTTTTCTATGCAAGATGCATATTAGTGATGCTCAGTACTTTGCATTAATATTTTCTCCCTGCTGCAGCTCTGAATTTGGGCACCACGAGTTGGAGTGTAACCTGCAGTGCAACTGCCCCGAGAAGGCCTATAACCCCATCTGTGGCTCCAACTCCATCGAGTACACCTCGCCTTGTTCTGCTGGCTGCAGGGCTGTGAGCATCCAGGAGGACACCAACATAGTCCTGGTGAGTCATTCCCACTGGGCATGTGGGATGGCTGAGGAGGGATGACCAAGGCACTGGCAATTAGTGGTGTTTGTTAGTGTTGGACAAACTCTGTGCGATCCATGTGGAATGTGCAGGGAAGGTTGGGCAAAACAGCAAGGAGAAACCTCTGAGGCATCCAGTATTTTAGGTGTCCTTCCACACTCACCTGACCCCCAAGGGAAGGTTTTGCTCCCCAAATCCTGGCTTCCTTCCTTGAGTGGACTTTTTCCATGGAAGATGCAAAGACTTTCTGCTTTCCCCTCATCTCCAAATGGTCACCAGGAAGGTCACCTTCCTGAGCTGTGTCTCCTGTGGTGGGACAGGAGGATGTGCAGGATGGGAAGGCCAAGCAGAGCACTTTGCATGACCCCAAGTCTGTGGACGCCCCTTATGCTGCTGTGATTTGCCCCATCCTTGAATAGGCACCTCCCAAAACCAGGATCCCAATTTAGGCACCACATACCTGAAGTTCCCTGGAACTGGATGGAATCCACGTGCTTCCTCTTTTTTCTGAGGTTATGAAGGGAAAATATCCATACAGGAGGTACTCACTGTCACATACCTCGGTGTCTTGCACCAGGTGTCACCCAAACTGCTCTCCCAAGAGGATTTGCCTCAGGGAGCAGCTCTGAGTGCTTTGAATACCTGGAAAATCATTAGCAATCCATATAGGATGAGTAGTTTCCCCGCTGTGTTCTTGGCACAGGATATACTGGCAGCATGGGACTGTCTGGGCAGTTAGCAGCATTTTGTTAATTAACAGCTCTTCATTTTAATAACAATTATGTTTTCTGCCAGAGCTTAGTCCCAGATGTGCTTTTCTGCATCCCCGGGCCTGCCTTTTGTGCAGCAGATCCTTTTCAGCTGCTTTTTTCTTGCTCAAAGATGCCTCCAGCCCTTTGACATCCTGTTCTCCTCAGTGTGTCCCCATCCATTAATCCTATAATTATGTGTAGCCACAGCCTACAGCAAAACCAGGGCTCCTCTGATGGTGCCACGCCAACACTACTTGGCAAAGCCAGCATCAGCTCTTCCTTTCAGGTATTACCTGTTGAATGAAAGGAAAGAAGACATTATTGCGTTTATGGCATTCTTCCAGCACCTGTTTTGTTGGAAATTTTACACTTTTCTTAGCATTTGCAGCCTCTCTGCCAGGGCAGGGACCCGTGGCACTCATTGTCTGCTGCTTTCCGTGTCCTAGGGTTTCCAGAAACCCTCCCAGTGTGCAGAAAAACCTACAGTTGTGTGCTCAGCTTTGCTGCAGCCCTTCCAGAGGAGCCTTGCTTTGACTCCTTTTAAAGTTCTTGGATGCTGAAAGCCATTTGCTGTTTGCATCAGCTGATATCCCCAAATTCCATGGACAGCAGCAGGAACCTCCAAATTTTATTCAGGAGTAGGACCTTGCAGTGACAACCTGTAAGTGCTTTGCTGTTTGGTTGGGTGCAGTGTGACCTGTTGAAGTGAGGTGGCCACAAGGACTTCCCTAGGAAGCTCTCCCTGCTGGAATCTCCATTGCCACAGGGCTCTCCTGGGTTTCTGTCCCCCCTCAGCTCTCCCTGTCTGCAGTCATGGGTGGGATCAGCTGCCAGCCAGGTCAGATCTAAGCTGGTCAGCACACATCCCAGAATTTAGAGTCCAACAAGGTCCCAGCTGGGACTTGCTTTCTCAAGAAAACAATTTCTAAATGGTGCTTTGGTGATGTTTGACCCTGAAGAACCCTGGGCTGGCTGTGTGCCAGAAGCCACAGCCCTGGTTTCAAGGCTGCTCTTGGGTTGTTCTCCTCTCCCCAGGTGGTTTTTCCCAGCCCTAGTGTTGCATCAGCCTTGTGGCACTGCTGCCCAGACAGTGCATCTCCCAGGGACAGACCCCCCAGAGGCTTTGTGGTTTGTGCCCTCTGCTCAGAGGGTTTTGCAGCTGGGGTCATGCTCCCTGCTATACAGTCCTCTGGGGTTTGGAATGAAAGGGGCAGAGCCTTCATCCCCAGCCCTCTGTCTGCACTTGGCTTTGTGCGAGTCCCCTCAGTGTGGTGACCCTGATTCTCTGTAGAAGGTGGTGGTGACACAGATGGAGCGAGTTTTTATTTATCTGATTGCTTTTTTGTTTGCTGCTTGGGCCCAAATTCGCCCCAGCTCTCACTTATCTGTGAGGGGTCCTCTGCAGACCCACCTCTCCCTCCATGGCTGCAGAAGGAGCCCAAAGGATGAGTTTGGTTTAGTCCTTTTCAGGTAGCTGAAGAAGATGAATCCCCATGTTCATTTCAAATATTGAATCCTCTTTGCTAGAGGTGGGAGGAGGGATTGTGTCCCTTTTCATCCTAACTCTCCCCCCACGCTCTCAGCCGGGAGCAGTTCCCTGTGGTCACAAAGCCACTCTGCAGGCAGTGCTGTAGGAACAGGGTTTTGGGGGACCCTGAGCTGCTCCTGCCTCTGGGATCAGCCTTCTACAAACTGCCACCCCTTTGTAAAACTGTGCAACCAAAAGATCATGCTGATTTTATTTAAAAGTCACTTCTGAAAATGAAAAGAAAAAAAAAAGGAGAGAACTGGAACTAAAAAATGGAGAAAAGGAAAAAAATCCTCATCCATCACCTCGAGGCATCTTCCCTTTGCTAAGGTTCTGCCAGTTATTTATGACCCTCTCTCAAAGGTGAGGTTTTATATTTTCCCCTTGTAAGTGTTTTCTGATTTAAGACTTCTCTGAGCCTGGGCTCTGGCTTTGGCTGCAGCTCTGCCCTGCACACAGTCCCTGCATAAGGGGTCTCCCTGCAGGACACAACTTGGGTACAGGTGACAGAGCCCAGGCAACCTGTGCCAGGGCCTCACCACCCTCACAGCAAAGAATTCCTTCCCAGTATCCCATGTAACCCTGCTCCCTGGCAGTGGGAAGCCATTCTCCCTTTTCCTGTCTTTCAATCCCTTGTCCAGCTTTCCTGGAGCCCCTTTGGACACTGGAAGAGAGGTCCTGAGTGCTAATTACCACTAATTAGTTACAGACACCCTCAGTATGGCAGCTGGCAGCTTTGCCTTCTACCTTCAGATGAGCAGCCTCTGGCTTTTCTCTCCCCTTTCCAGAACTACACCAACTGCAGCTGCATCTCCAGAAACGGCAGTTTTGCCACTCCCGGGACCTGCGGCACCGGCTGCTCCCACCTCTTCCTGCCTTTTGTGGTCCTGTCCTGCCTGGCCGGGATCCTCGCCAGCACATCCCACACCCCGTCCTTCATGCTCATCCTCAGGTGAGCAGCTGGGGCAGTCACGGCCTGGGTGCAGCCACAAAGGCCTCCAGAGGTGATGGTTGGGGGTCCTTGGGTTGAGGAGGAAGGTTTTCTCCAGCTGAGGGTTAAACCAGCCCTGTGTTACACCTCGTGCCCAGTTCCTCACGGTGCTTTGACATGGATTCTGCATGTGTTGGTGCCTCTGCTCCTGCCATCTGGCACTGCATGTGGATGTCCACCTTCCAGGCTGGGAATGGGAGCAGGCTGGGCTTTGCTGGCAAGCCCTGGTATGGCTGGGCAGGACAGAAACATCACAGGTATCCCCAAGCTGAGACTTGCTTTTGAAGACCCTGCACTGACAGAGTTCCTGCTGCTGTGACACCACAAAGGCTCTTCCAAGGTCTCCTTGGCCATTGCTGCTGAATGCTGCAGAATTAAGCAGCAAGTGGAGACTTCAGGCTGCTGGAGGCTTTACCATGGAGCTGTGTGGCCAGGTGCTCCTGGAAGGCACTATGGTGGTGTCACACCCGAGCAGCACCTGGTGGGTGTCACACCACAGCATCTCCATCCACCCGCGGGGCCATGAGGGTCACAGGAATTCCACATGGCCCTCAGCAGCCCCATTCCTGGGCTCAGCACAGCCTTCAGAGCCAGCAGCCATCCTATTCCTGCTCCCCACCTCTTGCTGGTACCTCAGCAAGGAGATGCACCATTAACTCGGCATTGGTTTAGCTCAGCAGTATTTTGGCTCATTTTGATGCAGCTCTGTATTGAGTTAAGAAGTTTAATTACCTTCCTTTGCTTGGATACAGCCTCCCTTCCCAGGGCAAAGAGGCAATTAGGACTCCAGCTTCCCACCCCCTTGGAAAGGTGCCTATGGGGCAGCAGCAACAGCCTAAACATGAGACCCAGACTAGTGGAGCTGGACCCCAGAGTGAGCTGACCTGGGAATGTGCTGGAAGAGAGGGGAAAACCATGGAGGAATCCTTGTATTAGTCTATATGCTTCCAAGCACATTTCTGTGGTTGAAACATTCCAAACAGTTGCTTTTTAGAGAAAAGCTGTGGTTAAAAATCTGTTTTTACTTTGACTGCCGAAGCTGTGAGTGCTCCAGGCAGTCCCAGAAGAAAGGGGATCTGAGTCCCCTGAGGGTGATGACCTGGATGTCCTCTGCCACCCAATCCTCTCCCATGTGTGACCAGCAGGAACCACAGCCTGGAATATTGATTCCAGAAAACTAGAGTACCACCAAAATAGACACTGGGGCTTCCCACCCCAAAACCAGCCACTTCCTCAGCATGTAAATCCCTTGTTCAGTTACAAAAAGCATCCCTTGTGTTGCTTGTGTTTTACTCCTGGGGATTCTTTAAATGAAAAGCAAAAATACTTTACCTGAGCTCCTCCCTGTCTTTTAGGGAGGATTTTCAGGCCGAGGAAAAGCTGTGGTCAGTGTGTGGCCCTAATGAATGAAACCTCATCTTCGCTGACCTAAATGGGAACTCCCTGGGGTCCTTGGTGGCTGGGATGAAGGACAACTTTTTGGGTGAGGTGCTGTGCCAGGGAGGGAAACGTCCACCTTTGTGGGATTGGCCAGAGGGCAAATTTTCCTTTTTGTTTTTCAGGAGCATCCAGCCTGAAGACAAATCCTTTGCTGTTGGGATACAGTTCATGCTGCTGAGAGTTTTAGGTAAATTAAAATGTGTTAAAAACCCATCCTGGAGAATAATGGCAGCTCTTGGAGGTCTGTAGGGATTTCATCCCTGATGCAGCAGGAGTGCTGTGTATTCAGACTAATCAAAGCCTGTCCTAAACCAGAGAAAGATGCTGCATTGCAGGGTCTGGGGGGCTGCACATGGGGAGGGGACAAGGCACTTCCATGGGGGTGAATTACATAATTTAATAAAATAAAAGGAGGCTGGAAATACCTTTAGATTCAGGAGGTTGGCCCTTAGTTGTGGGTGGGTATTGCTGTGTTTGCCTCCAGCACATCAGGGTGGCTCCAAACCTTGTCCTGTAATCCCACTAATTATTTTTCTGATGGTGAAAATCCATGTTCACCTGGAGGCTCCCAGAACATGCCACAGCAGTGCTGGAAAGGGGCATAAATGCTCAGGGCATGAAGGAGGTGGTGGAGTCACAGCCTCTGGGAGTGCTCAAGAGGTGCCTGGATATGGTTTAGGGGTGATTATGGTGGTGCTGTGTTGACAGTTGGACTTGAAGATCTTGAAGGTCTCATCCAGCCTTGATGATTCTGCGATTCCTGGGATGAGCAATGAGAAAGAACTTCCATCTCAATGGGGAGCAAACACACAACCAGGCCTTGGCGTGTTGTGCAAGACCAGTGGCTTCATGGGCCACAGCAAAGGCCATCCCAAGCCACTTCCCAGCCCTTTAGCACACGGGGAAGTCACCAGGCTTGGGTGTGTGCCAGCAGAGCAGCTCCCTTGGCATAACCAAGCCCTCTCTGCTTCCAGCGTGGATGCCGGGGCCCATCCTGTACGGCAGCGCCATCGACACCACCTGCATCCTGTGGGAGAAGAGGTGTGACAGGAAGGCAGCCTGCAGATACTATGACAACACCCTCTTCAGGCAAAGGTAGAGCTGACCCAGCAGCAGGAGGGCTGAGGGGGTAGAGGGAAACCCAGGGGGAACGTGGCACCCACCTCTGACACGGGATAAATTGCTGGTGAACAAACAGGGGCACTCGCAACCCCCTGGGCCAGGATAACCCCCAACAGTGGCCAGGAATGGTTTGGAAAACCACTGGCACAGGCCCAAACCCCACCAGAGACTGTGCAAACTTGCTGCTGTAACGCACAGAGGTCCAGTTCCAGGAGAACCCCTGCAATCCTTCACTGGAACAAGCTCCCTGGGGACACAGTAGAGTCCTCCTCACTGGAGGCTTTCAAGATGAGAGTGGACAAAGCTCTAGACAATCTCCCCCAGGCTCCCTTTCCCATGGAAGGTTGGACCACATGGGTTTTTGAGGTCCCTCCCAACCTGAGCTGTTGTGTGATGCTGTGGTGACTCCTTTTACATGGATAGACAGAAGCAGCCTGTCCTGGTGTCTTCTCCATGGGGGAAATGCAGCAGTGGGGATCAAACCTGCCTGCCTGTGAGGTGCTGCAGGGGGCCTGGGGACATTGAGTATTGGTGCCCCGGGGTTCATCTTCCAATAAAACACCCCAACTCGACACACAGAAGACACCAAATGCAGCCTGTGCACGGTGAGGAGGCTGGGAAGGAGCTCTAGGTGATGATATTCCATCCCCATGGCAGGTTCATCATTGAATGACTCTCTGACCAGTAGCTGTGTCAAGTCCTTTCCACCCTTGAGCCCAGGGCAGTGCCCTGGCCACTCTGATTTGTTGTGTTCCCACACCACAGGTACCTGGGTCTCCAGTTTTTCTTTGAGGTGGGAGCCTTCCTGTGCTTCGTGGCCGTGTATGTGATCCTCAGGAAGCAGGAGAGGGAAGCCAGCAAGGCAGCAGAGACAAAGGCAGACCCAGAGAAGGAGAAGATGGCAGGAAAGTCCACAAAGACCCCGGAATCCAAAGTGTGACACCAAGAAGGTGACTCGTGATCTGTGTCTGGGGAGGTGAAGCCACCCACCCCTGAACTGTGAAGGGTGGATGGTGATGGACCATGGGGCTGCTTCCTGATCTTCTGGGTGGGAATAACTCCTCCTGCACTGCCCTGGGAGTCCATCCATACATTGTTCTGCCTCTTCCACCTCGCTGGTGCAGCTTGCTCCTTCACACGGATTATTCCACTCACCGTAACCTTTGGATGCTGCAGCCTTCAGGATTTATGTCCTCCAAAGCATTTGTTCCTGCTGACAGTCTTGGTGATGCCAGCACTGAACAGCTGAAGAGTTTTGTGTGTGTGAGGGGTTTTTTTTTAGCAATAAATCATTTTTAAGAAATGGTTTTGTACTGAACCCATAGATCTCTGTGAGTGATGGTCTGTCCTTGCCCCCAGAATGTCAGCTGTGCTTACTGCCTTTCCTCTCAGGGTGTTAGATGGTCTCTCTTCTTGAAGGCTTCATCCAGCTCCACCTGACATTGCTGGGATTTTTGTCACTGGCTGTGGACCTTTCCAAGGACCAACCTACACATCTGCTGAAGCTTTGGTGGTGAGGGGCAGGGATGAGGATCCTGGGGAGGGGGGACATCAAAAGGAACTGGAGAAACTCCAGTACCTGCAGGCTTGGGGCACTTTGCCAGCAGGGCCATATTTTGCAATAATAATAATAATAATAATAATAATAATAACTCTTATTTTTGAGTTATCAGTACTTATTTTCTGATTCTCAGTGCTTATCACAGGAGGTTACTAAAACACCTGAGTGTTTAGGCTCCTTCCTAGTTTGCAGCTTGACAAAGACAGGACTTTTTCCAGAGATGCAGTATCAGAGAGGGAGGTTGAAGCCATCCCTGTCCAGACTGGGCAGAGCTCTGAGCTGAGCACAAAGCCCATCAGCCCTGTGCCCCTTGAAGGGGTTTCTGTCTGTGATTATGGGGTAGAAGTTGAGTCTGGGGTTATTTTGGTGCAGCTGCCTCTGTTTTCTGCATTTATCCCATCCTGGGGCTCCTTTCCTCTCAAGCCCAGGTTGTGTTGCTGCTCTCCTACCACCAGTTTGCAACCACAGACCACGGGGGGAACTTGTCATTTTTGGCTCCAGAATGGAATTTAGTAGAGAAGACAAAACTTCTAAGTTCAACCCAAATATGCAGAAGAGAAACACACAGTGGAGAAAATTCACCAACTCCTTCCACCCTGGCAAATGGTCCTCTGGTGAGGGCTGGGTTGTGCAGAAAAGAGCTATGGGGGAGGATGGGAAAGCCTGTAAGTGACTGATTTAGATAGTTCTAAATATCTACCAGGCTCTTAGCCCAGCCATTTTGAGAGACCCAACTACCATAGTGCAGACTGAGAAATTAATTTGAATTTTTTAGGGTCTTGGGCTTTTTTTCCCCTATTTTTATGCAGTGCTTCATGTTCGTTGAGATGGTTGAGACAGTCTACAGCCCTGTTCACAGATATCAACTCAGAACTGACTTCTGGCTTCAAAGAAGGTTCTAGAAGGCAGACAGTTGTCTGAGTGGATGTGGGTGGACCCACTCAAAGAAGGACAAGTAGCATATGCTGGCCATGACACCCCAGATCTGGGGGAGTTTTGCAGTGTTTTCAATTCTCAAGGCAGCATCTGTTGCTAAACCAGACAGGAGTGGAATAAGAATGAGGTTCTTCAGACCGGAGTAGGGAAGAGGCAGTCCAGGATGCTCTCAGGGGTCACTCCAGCTCTTGGCAGCCCAGGAATCTGTGGCATCCTTGCTGCATCCTGTGGAGAAGAAGGTTCTTTCCTGGCTCTGCACAAGCCCTCGGCTCGCAGGCGGTTTCCTGCCTTGCTCTGCACAATCCCAAGTCGCTCCAAGGTACTTTGCAAGCCTCAACAAATAAATAACAACACACTTTGTTTTGCATGGAGTGAAAAGTCAGGAGCTGCCACGTGCTTTGCCAGGAATCTGCCACAGATTTGCTTCTTGGCCCAGAGAAGCTGTGGCTGCCCCACCCCTGGAAGAGTCCAAGGCCAGGTTGGATGGGGCTTAGAGCAACCTGGGCTAGTGGAAGGTGTCCCTGCCCATGGCAGGGGGTGGGACTGGATGATCTTTCACTCCCAGAAAGGCCTGTTCTCCCTGCTGGGCTTGGCACTCCATTTCTATTTTCCACTTGGAAAACTCCTATCCCGTCATGTGAAGGTTTTTTGCTCAGGCAATGCACAAGGTGGCACAGCCTGAATTCTTCCTTTCCTGGTTACCCCTCCAGCAGAGGAGAGATCCCTGTGGATAAGCATCCAAGGTAATTGCAAACAGTGTGTCAGCTTTGTGGTCAGCTGTGGGCCTGTTATTATGCCTTTGTTCTGGTAATTCCCATCAATTTGGGCTGGAGTTTCTATCAAGAGAAATAAACCCACTTTTTTCCCCTTCCCCTCCTCTGTGCTCTTTGAGCAGGCTGTTGAAAGGGACTGACTTGGCAGAGAAGATTAAAAGGAGGCAGTTTGGAAAGGCTGGGAGGAGGATAAAACCCAGGAAATATGAAAAGGTTGTCAGCACCCAGGGAGCAGGAGGAGGAGTGTTTGATGGGGAGCAAGTGGCAGGCAGGTAGGAGGGTTGCGAAGGGAAGGAAGCAAAGGAAGTCATAGCAGCAGCAAAATCCACCCTGTTCTGTTCTCCAGGTTTTCCCCAGGGGAGATACTCCCCTGGAGACAGCTTAAAATAGAATTTACAGAGCAGTTCAGGATATACCTCAGCAGCCATACATTTCTTGGGGAAGACTAACAGGGGTGAATCCAGCTGGGCCAGAACTCCATGGACTACTGGAACTGAAGCACTGGATGTTTTCAGGCAGCATTTTGTGGTACCAGGAGGTCACAGACCTGAAGGTGCTGGTGAGAATTGCACAGGGAGAAGAGGAGGAATTAAAACAAAGCATTAAAACAGAGCCCAGAGCTGCTTTATAGCTGATTATGATGCTCATTCCTCTGGAAAAAGAGCAAAGCTGAAGCTTTTAAATAACCTGCAATCCTCCTGTGGTGTATTTAGCTCAGCTCCATCTCTTCCTGCAGTGTCCCTGGGCTGCTGCTCCACTGCAACCAAACCCAAAGGGTTTCTCCTGCTGTTGCAAGAGCAGGTTTTTCACCAGAGGGGATGGTCCCAGTCCCATGTGGATTTGGTGACTGTTCACAGAGTGCCAACAACGTGTGTATCAAAACTCTGTGCATGCTTCCATTCAGATTCACCCAAACTGCCTCTGGCAACCTGAAATCTGTTCCCAGGAAATGCTCATTGAAGAGACACAGTTTGTAGCAAAAAGACAAAGAATTGCTGTGCCTGGAACTGTGGATAAAATCCAGTCCCCAGGCTGGGGAAGAGGAAGGCAAGTAATCCAAATACCTTTATATAAAAGGTAGAAATGCTTAGTTCAGGAAAATCTGGGAAGTTCCCACCAGGACACCGGAAAGATGAGCCAAGGAATCACTGAGCTGCTGCCAATTAACCCCACAATTCCCAGAAGTTGGGGGTTTCTGGAGGATCTTAGGGAAAAGAGAAGTCAGGCAGATCCAGACCCACTGAGCACTGAAAAGATGCTGAAGAAGTTACTAATTCATCACTTGGATTATGATGTCATGGATTGTCATGGGGAGATCACATCAAACATTTGATTTCTCCTTTGGGCAGGTACCTGGCCCACCTGGAGAAGCTGTGCTACCTCTTGACTGAGGGAAGGATTTTGACCCTACCCCACCTTATTCTCATAAACTAATTTTCAGACACATGGAACTATGCAGAGAGGAGGGGTAAAAAAAGGGGAGAAAGAACAGGCTTAATTAGAAAGCTTCACTTCCAGGGGTTTCAGGTAATTTGCTGCCTACTCAAAAGGATTTCTCCAGAAGGATCTCACTAGGATCTGTCCTGTCTCTAGTGCTAATCAATATTTTAATTAATTACTTGGGTGATGAGAGAAGCAGGAGCTAATAAAATTAGTGCTGTGGATGGCAGGGTTGGAATTCAAATAATTCCCAGCAGATTGGGAGAAATGGCCTGAAATGGATAATACTGGGATTTAACACCCGGAGCAAAACAGGAAGGAGGGCTGGGGTGCAAAATCTGCCCTGTGAGAAAGGGGATGGGGCAGCCAGTTCATCCAAGGGCAGAGGGAAGATCAGTTGTTTTTAAGGAGAAAAAATATAATTTGTGGAAAAGATGGAGGGGCAGGAGCAAGCTTCCCTTCATCGAGGAGCCTGAGTGAGCTGCAATGCCCTGGATCCAGTGGTGGAAGGGTTTAGGCAGGAGTTTTAAGCTCATATGATCCCTTCAAATTAACTTGGCATTCACCAGAATTCACTTGCTGTCCTGTGAGGAGAAGATACAACGCCTTGCACTCTGAGGCATAAAAATTATCTCCCCCCTTGCTAAATGGAATATGTTTTCCTTCTTGTTGCAGAGTGTATCTCCCCCAGCTGGGCTCACTCGAAGGTCCAAGCAAACAGAGCAGAATAAATCAGGAATTATCTACTGTGTTTGGAGACAGGTTGAGTAATGATTACTCATGAAATATGAAATTCATCTTCGGGGCTTAATGCACTCGCTACAAAGTTGTGCAGGAGCTTGTTGTGGAAGGTTCTGAAATGATTGTGGCAAGGGAACAACATCCTTTATCCCAAGGATCTGATAAGAGCTGACACTGCATCATTGAGCATATTCCCAGCTTCATCCTAATCTGCAGCTTTCAGGGTGCTGAAGGACAGGAGTGTTTTCAGACAGAGCTGATAAAATGCTGCTGGAACATTTTAATCCCTCACTTTTCCAGTTAAAATGTCATTTGCTAAAGAGACCAGAACCTCGGATGGTTCCAAGCTGCGCACACTGGGATAACTTTCTGACAAAACTTCAGGAACAAAAAACAACATTCCCAGGCTAAACTTGCTATTGAATTCTTATAGTTGCTCTTAAAAAAGGTTTTCCTTTCCACTCTCCCCACCTCCTGCTTCTCCCAGTGCTGTGACCTAAATACACACTGGCCACTGTGTGTACCCAAATTGTGCTCACAAAGTTTTGGGGACTCTGTACTCATTTTTCTTTACCCCCCAGTTTCTGACTTCTTTCTGCAGGAGTGCTCTGGAACAAAGGCTGGGCACAAATAAAATAGAGATATTCCAAAATCCTTGCAAACAGGCCACTGAGGGAGAAGGAGGGTCTGACCAGGCTGAGCTGTGGTATGAGAGGCCAAGAGGAGGTACCATCTCATGCCCCTCATCCTGATGTCCTCTGGGAAAACAGGATGGATCCATGCCCAGCCTCAGGGAAAGGAGATGCAGCAGCTTTACTTGATTCACAAAAAATCACAGATATTCACAAAAAGAACCAAAATAAGCAAGATTTT